CATGTCCAAATCAAATGAAGTACTCCATGAAACGAGTTTAAAATGTCTACAAGTTCAAATCAAATCAAGGCTCCTTGATACGAGCATAAACTATCTACATATCCAAGTCAAATCAAGGCTCCTTGATACGAGCATAAACTATCTATATATCCAAGTCAAGTCAATGCTCCTTGATACGAGCATAAACTATCTATATATCCAAATCAAATCAAGGCTCCTTGATACGAGCATAAACTATCTATATATCCAAAGAAAATCAATGCTCCTTGATACGAGCATAAACTATCTACATATCCAAGTAGAATCAAGGCTCCTTGATACGAGCATAAACTATCTATATATCCAAATCAAATCAATGCTCCTTGATACGAGCATAAACTATCTACATATCCAAGTCAAATCAAAGCTCCTTGATACGAGCATAAACTATCTATAAATCCAAATCAAGTCAAGGCTCCTCGATACGAGCATAAACTATCTATATATTCAAATCAAGTCAAGGCTCCTTGATACGAGCATAAACTATCTACAAATTCAAGTCAAATGCTCCTTCAGTACGAGCTTAAACTGCAAATATTTCTCCTTGTCCACATGAGTATAAACTGTGCACGACATCCCTCAAAAGGATATATTTTGAACTACGTTATGACTTGATCCCTTTATAGGGTACGTAGGCAACTTAGAATCTCTCTAAGTTCAGTCATGATTTCAAAAGATATATGTTCTTTGCTAGATCAAGCTGCAATAGAAGTTGAGCAATTATCGAGACTCATCCACTCCAAGATGCATTGTCCGTGAACAAGTCTCGAGGGGGCATTTGTAGACGCATAAAATTAATTAATTGGTTAATTAAATTAGCCAATTAAATTGTGTCTAAATTAAATAATAATTTATCTTGCAAAATAAGTGATGGAGATAATTATCAATTAATTATTGGCCAATAGGATTGTTTCTTCTCTTCCAAGTTATAAGAGATAAATATCAATTTAAAGAGAGCCAATCAAATTGCACCACGTCATCAAGTAGACTTTAAGTAGGACTCTTATTCTACCACTACAAATAGGGACCCTCCCTACACAATTCAAAACACAACTCAAGAAGAAGAAAAACCGTAGGAGAAAATTCTCTCTACAATATTCAAGTCGTTCTTCATCAAATTCAAGGCGTTCTTCATCAAATCGAAGGAGTTCATCAAATCGAAGGTGTTCTTCATCAAATCAAGGCGTTAAAGCGTTTAATTCGATATTACGGTGCTAAACCCTCGAATTAACGTTATTAACATCAAATCAAGATCGAAGGAAGATTGAAGGGCCAAATCCATCAAGAACTCCAAGATCTTCAAGTCAAAATCCGTCAAAGTTCAGCGTTCGATCCGAGATTCAAGTCGCAAGACCCTCGGAAGACGTTATTCAAATCCAAATCAAATCCGGAGAAGGTCAAGTCAACGACTCGTCTCCGAAATTCAAAGTCAATCATATATTTTTCTTGAGAGAAGAATTAGAGGATTAAATTAGAGTTTGTAACCCGCAATATTTTATTTTAAATTCAATAAATTATCTTTGTGCAAGTTTTTCTTGTTTGTCTAAATTCGCAGATAAGAATTTGTTGCTACACATTCCAAGTTCGAATTTGAGAAAAATCTTCACGTGTCCAAACTAAAATAAAGTTGGAATTTGAGAAGAAAAAATCGAATTGATATGAATTTGAATAATAAAAAAGGCTTAATGAATTGAATAAATATTAATAAAATTGAACTCATTTTTTATGATTATTCACGTGAAAAATTAATGAATTTTGGGTGACTTTGATAAAATTATCTTAGTGAGAAGTTAGAAAGAATATAAGTAGAGAGAGATTTTTTTTTAATTTATGTGTGAGAATTAGTAAATTTTAGTGTGGGATTTAACATGCCCTTCTTTAAATTACATGTATTAAATTTGTTAGAATCTATTATTATATATGATTTGTCTATAAAATCTTTTATTTAATAAAATTAAGTTATTGTTTTAAGGATAAAATAGTAATTTTTCGTTTCAGTCACCGCCGTACAAAATTAATAACAGGGGGAAGGGTGTTACTAATTTTATGACACATGAGCACTTAACTGCGGGCTTCAACTTTAATAGCGGGCTTGAGTAATATTGAATGCTACCAACCAAACATCTTACTAACTCCTACTATTTACAGAACTCAAACCGTAAACACAATGAATTCAGCATTCATTCTAACAAGATCTCATCTACCAAAATTATTCTCCTTTTTTTTCCTCTCTCCTGCAGCTTTCATTTACCAGCTCAACTCAGCTTCCAAGCTCCAAGTCTGGACCATTAGTTAACATTAATCTCCACTTTTGTCCATACTTCACATTTGCTTTCTTCCATGTTGCTTGTCCATGATCAAACATCAATTTCTAAGAGCATACATGTCACTTTCACCATGAACTAATTGTACTAGATATGTATAGTACTTGAATTTTTCCACATGGAAGACCTTAGTTATTGCATCAGCTAAGTTATCCTCAGTTCCAATCTTCTTGACCTCAATTTTCCCACCAGCTATAACATCCCTGAAAAAATCCAGCAAGCATGTTAGACTAAACTATTGCATGTTACAAAATTCAAGCATTCATTGAACTTCATCAGTTTTTTCTGAACGGAGTTAAAATCCCTTGATCAGGGGAGCCTTGATGATTTGGTGATTATGGTGGAGATTTGTTGGATTTGATCGATCATCAATCATCAAGATGAGAGGTTGTGATGATAAATAAATCTGAGCAGTGTCATGCAAGTAACTAATTGAACATGCATTGGATGATTGATCATAAGAGAATAACAACTAACTGCCTTGCTGATGTGGAGACCGTGTATTGGATGAGATGGAGCTCAATACACGTGTGCTGAAGACTTGGGGATGAAGCTAACTTCTGGGAGGTATAAAAAAAGGAGTAGATGTTTTTAGGTAGGGCTACGATTGAGAGAAAAAAAAAAGTTGTATTGAGAGAGAGAAAGAATTAGAGAGAAGAGAGATAAACAGTGGAGATTTGCTGAATAAATTTTATGTTGATTGTTTTGTAAACTCTTATTCTTATTGATTGAATAAAGATCGATCTCATTCATCATCCAATTGTTTTGTGTTCTACTATATATAGTCGATTCAATAAATTTCTTATGCTAGGGTTCATACAAAATTAAGGATTATTGTTTGGTTTGATTCTATGCATGAATTATTCTTCATTGTGGTTTGTCCTACTCGAATATTTGTGATGAATTGAGCTCCATTTTGAACACTTACATTATCAACATATGGAAACCAATTAATACCGGCCCAGCTTTTAAGCCCGAGCTATTTGGGCTACCCAATGGGCTACTTTTTGTTATAAATTTTCCACATGTAATACTAGTGTCTTTTTGCATTGATTAATTAATCAATAAACTAATCATTATAAAATTAGTTTAATTTATTTTATTAAATTTTATTAATTTTAATAGGATGTTCATTTTTTTTCATGAACATTTTATTAATGTGTTATTTTGTTTAATGTATTTTCTTGCAAAATTACTCCATTCTGTTTTTTAAAAAGAAAAAATGGTACAGTTACAGCCTACAGCATGTAGTGGACTGACTTTGCCCCTGAATCACGTGTGACTCGCACGTGCTCAAAATGAAATGTGAAAATTGGATTCCATTAGTGTGAGGCCCACTAACACGATTTGTCACTTCGCGGGCCTAATCCCGTGCCCAATGTATTAGCCCACGTGTTACAAGGGCCTAACTGCAAATTTCTTTTTATTAATTTTTTTCTAAAATTGAGAAATAAAAATAAAATTAGGAGAAAATAGAATTCATTTGACAAATTAAATACATTAAATTAAAAAAAATTATGGACATGATTTGAAAATAAAAAATCTGATAATTTTTTAAATTGTTAGGGTAACTATTTTTTACATGTTGAAAATGGCAAAAAAAAAAAAAAGAGCGTGTGTGTGTAAAAAAGATAAATAAGTTTGATAGATTGGGGGCATTTAATTGTCCTTTGATGGGGTGCAAACTGCAAACTCACATGCTATCTCCTAAAAATTTGAAACCCTCTTTTCCGAAAAGTAACTCCGTTCCGATTCAGTTGTCGCTTTTTAGATTTGCACCGGTATTAAGAATGTCTATAAATGTATATTGATTTTAAGAATAATACATTAGAAAGGCTAAAAAGACCTTATTATTTAACCTTGTGATAAGAGATAAAAAAATACTTAGAGTTTAATTAATAATAAGGTTAAAACATAAAAAATACATTTAATACAGTATTGATAATCTTAAATCTAAAGTGACGTATAATATAAAAGAAAAATATTTATAAAAAGAAACCATTATTATTATTATTATTCATTTATTTACAAACTTACTTAAAAATTTAAGACATATGCTTATTGCATGAGGAGGGAGTTACATGATACACTTTAAATTGAGTGATTAATTAGGCATTATCTTGTCAATATAATTTTTATTTTTATTTTTTTTAACATTAAAAATGTCAATAGAGCTGGTATTGTTTCAACTTGCTTGCAGTATCTATTGAAAAAGGTTCGACAACCTTGACCATTGAAAAAAAAAAGTTGACATATTTTATTTATATAATATATTAAAGAAAATAAGATGTTCTCTTAATTATCTATATATTATATTAATAATTGTGTAATAAACCTCATCTATTAAATTACACATTTAAATCTAATAAGAATGCACATTAATATTATTCTTGCTAGCTGATAAATTCACCAATTTTCAACCCATTTCACTGAGAGAAAACAAAAAATAAAATTACATTATTGGTAATCAAGGACAATGGTCTTAATTAATGCCATTTTCCTTTGCTATAAACTAATTATAACTAATAAAAAAAAAAAAAAAAAAAAAAGATGAACAACACTCTAAACGTAATTTAATTCAAGACTCGTATATACATCAATCGATCCACCTCACTGAAAAATTTGAACTTTTATATGAAGTGATCATTCGACATAGTATCAGAGCCAGATCAAACTTACGTTCGTACCGCCTCACCCGTCCAAAGTAAAACACGAAATGCAAATTCCCGATTCGTAAAAAAACAAAGAAAAACAAAATAAAATAAATGATTTAATCAATCATGCCAGCAAAGAAGCATAACTACACATCTTCTCATAATGTAGAGCCTTCCTCTCTGCTCCTTGAGAAACTTCCCCAATCTTCTACTCGATAATCTCTTCTTCGACGATCTCATTTCCATTTACGAAGAACGAAATACGATCTCCTTGGATGCAAATAGATGGTTTTTGAGGGGCTGTTTTGCAATTAATGGTTTTTATGGGGGGTGGTTTTGTAATTTCAAGAATACTTGACCAGAGAAGAATTTAAGCAGCTGCAGAAATATTTTGTTTGAGTTTGAAGTGAGGGGAAGCAAAAGAAGAGGTTGGGGTTGTCTTAAATAATAGTTGGGAAAAAAATAAAATAATTAAATATGTGCCACGTCATCATGTACAGCAATATTATTTAAATGTCAGATATTAACCTCCGAAATAGCTGGTCGGTCCCAAGTGATTCAAAGGTACCATGTATACGAGAAAGTTTAATTTAGGTTACCTTTTATTTTTATTTTTCATTGTTATTATTTTTTAAAATTGAGCTCGAGGGAAAGTCGAAAACTTCACGGTTATATCGACCGAAGTATGTGTTTAAGTTTGGTTCATTGTGGTGGCAAATTGTTTACGAATGATCTTTTAACGAACAATTTCTGATCGAGTATTGAATCGATTGGTCTGATTTAATTCTCGCACTTATTAGTACAAAGATATTTATTACATACTATATGTTTCAATTTATATAAATATATATACATAAAAAACACTAAATTAAAGAGTGTCTATTAGTTCGTAGCACGACAATTCCAGTCTGGATCCTATGTTGCATGTACACTATTCAAAAAAGAAATCGAAAAAAAAAACATGTTAACGAGAAAAAAAAAATACCGTAAAATCGTCCCCATAATTTTCTAAAAATTATTATTATTATTATTATTATTATTTTCTAAAAACCGTGTGCGGAATTTAAATTATCGAACATTGTAAATGAACTGGAATTGAACGGTGGAAGTATAAATTTAATGAATTATAATATAATATCATAAACAAAATAAATGAAATTAAATAATATTAGCCCATACAGAAATTAGAAAGATCTTTAACTGAACAAACGCGACATTGCAGATTAAATTTCATTAAAAGATATGCCTGCAATTTTCGAACAGAGTGGATCAGGTTTTTTAATCTAATTCTCTTATTATTTTTATATCAAGATAATATTAATTATTACATAAAATAAAGCAGGGATGTACAGTACAAGGAAGACATGTCATCACGTGAAATCCTCGTGACGGGACATAGTCCCTTCCCACGTAGGCATATTAGTGTATTCGGCAATTACCTGGATCTTTCTTTAGAATGTGGAATTAAATCCTGATTAGATGGATTAATTAAAATCGGATTTCATCAGATTGTGGATTAGCCAAGTTCAGTTAATCGGATTAGTGAAGAAATCCTTTTTGGATTTTGGAGTGACTGAGAATCAGGTTTTTTTGATTTTCTTGTCTAGTGTGCCTAGGTGTGTCAATAAGCTGAACTGGCTCGATAATTAGCTTGAATTCAAACTCAAACTCAAAATTTTAGAGTTCGAGCTCGAGCTTTTCTGACGATGTTGAGCCTGAGCTCGCGAGTTTTTTTTCTTTCAAATTTTAATTTATTACTATTTTTATTTTATATATAATCAATATAAAATTAGTAATAAATCATATAAATAATTAAAATATTAAATTACATGTCATTTTTTATTTTCAATTTATTTTATTATAATTTATAATAATACAATTATATCAATATTAATAAAAATTAAAAATACACACAAAATGACTTAGGCTCGAGTTCGAGTTTGTCAAAATGAATTCGAGCTTGAGCTCGAGTTCGTCAAAATTGATTTGAGCTTGAGCTTGAGCTCAAGCTCACCAAAACAGCCAAGCTCGGCTCGTGTATACCCGTAAGTGTACCGTCCTCTTGAGTAGGCTGAAAAATCAAATTATAAGTAACATTTTGGGAATTTTTAAATAAAAATTAAATTCCAATTTTATTCATTTTATTTCCTCGGAAAATCAGGAATTAAACTTCGAGAATTAAATGAAAAAATGCTCGGGAAAAAATATGATATCCTGGAGTTAAATTGAATTCAAATTTCCAGCCCTGAGTTTTAGTGACTCCTTTGAGTTGGGCTTTGAATTTAAGTAATAATGGATCATGGATAATTGGTCGGGCTTCAATATCAGATAGCACAGCCCGATAATATATCTTGAATTGGGTTGGGCTTTGAAAAAAATTTAAATGTGAAGTAATATGGCTATTTTGGGCCATGATATGTCAGTTAATTGTAGGGGTGTTCATCGGTTGGTTAAGTCGACCGAACTATGTCAAATCGAAAATTTAGCATGTACCGAACATGGAACTTGTAATTCGGCTTGATATTCAGTTTTTTTTTCATTTCTAATTTTTTATCTGCTGATTATTTTAGGTATTAGTTAAATTTAACTTTTACTTGAAGTGCGTGTGTGTCTTTGTTGTTTTGTTGATGCAAATTCCCGTTCATCTTCTTCGACGCCTATTTTCGACGTGCTATAGGCCCTTGGGAACATTCTTAGGTTGCTAAGATTGTCTGGATCGCACGGTAGTGTATACAAACCTAAAAGGGCAGATCTAGATTTTTCAGAAATAGGGCAGGTGACTATGTTTGTCTATGATTGACTACAACATGTATGGGCCCGCGCATCAGGATTCAAAAGGGTGAGTCTATGTTTTCTATATTGCGATAGTGGATGTCTATAGTTGACTACAGTTGTGTGTGGTTGACTATACAAACGACATAGTAAAATTAAGCCTATTGCAAACAAAAGATAAAAAAATAAAAATAAATAATAATAAGGGTAAATTACAATCACCACACTGAAGTACAATCAAACTACGAAAACCTCCTTATATTTGGATAATTATAACTATCTCTCAATTATGAATATTGTTACACTTATGCCCTTATAGTGTCAAATTTAACATAATGTTCTAGATTCCGTGCAATGTTCACTATTTTGTACTCGTTTTGTGCAAAAATGTCGTTTCTGATACACCGCAATATGATATGATATATACAAACAAAAAAAATACATCTTATGATCAGCTTGCTTTAAAATGTAGAGGTCGAATGGGATAAAACGGGTACAAAATTGAGAATACTCTATATAATCTAGAATATTCCACTAAATTTGACACCGCAAGGGTGGACGTGTAAGAAAATTTATAGCTGAGGGATAGTTGTAATTACCTAAACATGAGGGGTATTTTTTGTAATTTGACCTTACCTTAGGGGTTGGTTGTAATTTACCCTAATAATAAAAGAATGCAAACTAAAATAAAAGGAAGTAGCGAAAATGTAAAGTGCAAAGGCAAAATGCTAAGGCGGTGACTATATGCAATCACAAAATTACTTAGGGGAAGTCCAAATCTAATTTTTCACTAAATAAATTACTAAAATACTATTATACCCTTACTAAAATACAAAATCCACAATTACAAAATTTCACAACTTCCTTTGTGCAAGACCATACAAGCAAAACCCATTTCATCTTCCTAACAAACTCATTTCACACAAATTCTTCAAAAAAAAAAAAAAATTCTTCATCTTCTCCAAAAATTCTGAACACCCTAAACCATCAAATCTTACTAAAACATGCAAATGATAATGTTATGGAGTCACGCGACATCAATATGGAGAATTCTATAGAAAATATAGAAAACAAACTATGAATGAATGTATTTTTATCAGTGTTCTAAAAATCGGCCGAGGCGGTCCAAAACCTTTACGATTTTAGTGTAAATGTTTGAAAAATCGGTTTTTTGCCTGTGAGGCGGTTTTAGGCGGTCTGAGGCGGTCAAACCTTTAAGGCGGGTCAAACTCCGTGGCAAAAATCCTTTTTTTTTTTTTTATATATAATTTAAAATAAAAGTTGGATTTTAATAAAAGAAAATATGAGTTTATGCCTTATTTTGTTTATGTTAATTATTATTGTTAAAGAACTGAATAAATGTTAATTCAAAAATTTTGCTTTTTTATTTATATTTTATAATGATATTTATGTATTATGATCTTATAATTATTAAACTTTTATTATGTTATTAGGATATATATATGATGGAGATATAACTATGTTTAAATATATTTTTATATATGTTTGGAGTATTTATAAATAATATTTAGAAATATATTATATTAAATTTTAAAAACCCGATTTATTTCCGATTAATCACCGCCGCACCGATTAATCGTGAGTCGGTGCCTGACCGACTCGGACCCGATTACCGCCTTTTACAACCTTGATTTTTATAGTTAGGTGATCGATTTTTAAGCTTTCTAAACAAAAATTCGCACAGTCAAAATTCGACATAGACATGTCGAATTTTGTCACAAAATTCGACATTTTGATGTTGATTTTTTAGCAAAAAATCGTCATCAACTCTAGATATCGATTTTTGTGACAAAATTCGACATGTCGACATCTACATGTCGAATTTTGTGACAAAATTTGACATCTACATGTCGATTTTTCGCCAAAAAATCAACATTTAGATTTTTGCCAAAAATCGACATTTAAATGGCGAAAATTCTTCGGTAGCGGATGGGCGACGAAAATTCTTCGGTAGCGGATGGGCGGCGACAATTCTTCTTGTCTTGCGTTCTTCTCTTCTTCCTCCAGCATCCCTCTCTCTCGTTTTTCAATTTCTCCTTTATTTTTATTTATTTATTTATTTTTTTCTTTTTGGTCTTGCAATAGTAATTATGTCTAATTTGAATGAATAGTATCAAAATCAATATTGGTTATATTTGTAATTTTCAATCTTGTTCTTATAAATTTATTTATATTTTGATCTTACATCAAGTAAAATTTTGCACTTAGTAATTTTAATCTTGCATATATTTGCTGCCAAATGCTACACATAAAAGTTCGTTTGAACGAGAGAATTTAATATCCGGTCGGAAAAAGACTAAAAGAGTCAACGGTCAACTCAGACCACTCTCACTCCTCAAGATTCTCTCTCTTCCACTCTTCCTCCACCACTTGATTAAACCAGCTGCTCCTAAAATGGGCGGTCAGGCGAGCAGACCAAACCGGAGCAGCAGCACGCGCCACCGTCCGCCGCCGCCGCTCGCAGCCGAGTCGCCATCTCGGACAATCTCCAACCCCAATTTCAATTCAATTTCCAATTCGAACCCCTCCGACGCCGATATAAGCTCGTACGAAGCCGCCTGCCGTTCCGATCCCGATCTCAGCTCCTTCGACGCCGCCATTCACCGCCGCACCAGCGCCGCCATCAACTCCATCGCCGCCACCGTCGACGCGCGCTCCCTCTCCCTCGACTCCCTCCGGCAAGTCACCGAAACCCTCCTCGACACGAATCAGGAAGTCGTGCGGATCATCCTCCAGAACAAAAAGGACATTTGGAAAAACCCGGAATTATCGGATCTCGTCGACGATTACTTCGAGAACAGCCTCCTAACCCTAGATTTCTGCACCGCCCTCGACGCGTGCCTCAAACGCGCCGCCCATATAGAGTCCGTCGTCAACATCGCCCTCCGTAAATTCGAACACGAACACCACAGCACCGCCACTCCCGATAACAATTACTCGTCAACTCTGGCGGAATTGAGGAATTTCAATGCGGCGGCGGCGGCGGATCCGTTCGGCGAGGAATTTTTTAGTGTTTTCAATTCTGTTTATTCGAAGCAGATTGTAATGCTGGAGAGATTGAAATCGAAGAAATCGAAACTCGATAACAAATTAGGTAAACTGAAAGCGTGGAAGAAGGTATCGAATGTGATATTCGTCGTCACATTCGCCTCTGTTCTGATATGCTCGGTGGTGGCTGCCGCTCTCTCCGCCCCGCCGGTGGTAACCGCCCTGGCGGCGGCGGCGGCAGTTCCGCTAGGGTCGATGGGGAGATGGATCAACTCGTTGTGGAAAACGTACGAGAATGATTTGAGGGGGCAGAGAGAGATAATCGGTTCGATGCAGATCGGGACTTTTATAGTGATTAAGGATTTGGAAAGTATAAGGGTGCTTGTGGATAGGTTTCGAATCAAGATCGAGGGTTTATTGGCCAATGCTGATTTCGGGACGAGCGTGGAGGAGGAGGAGGAGGGTGGGGCGGAGGTGGCGTTGGTGGCGGCGGTGGAGGAGATTAGAAAGGGGGTGGGTGATTTTATAAAGACGATACATGATTTGAGCGAGCATGCGAATAAGTGTAGTCACGAAACGAGAATGGCGAGGACTTTGATTTTGAGGAGGATTATTAATCATCCGAAGAATGATTCGAATCGGGATGTCGGTATGTTTTCTTGATTTTCGAGATTTTTGCTACTGATTTTTTTACCTTTGGATTATGTAGAATGATTGAGTTCTACTTGTTGCCGGAAAATAATGGCAATATAATACATGTGTAAGGATATGGTATTTGACAAGTAGTAGAGATGTCTGATTTCCGGGGATCAGAATAGTAAATACTACGGGTCGAAATCGGAATGGAAAATTCGAATTTGATCCGATTTTTTTTTTTTTTTTTTTTGGAACAATATTTTTCATTTTGAATTTCGTAAGTTCCGATTTCCAAAATTTCCCACTTTTTTTTTTATTTTGAACGGAATTGGTATACATGTTAGATTCCGATTTCTGGTCCGATTTTATCCCAAAAAATATTCCAAAAAAATTCAGATTATTTTTCTGAAATTTACAGTTATATATTTTATCTTACAAGTGACCAAAAAATTTAAATTTCCGAATTCGGATGATTCCGGTCCAAAAATTTTCGATTTTGGAACAATTTTTTTCGTTCCAATTTCAAAAAATTCTGATTTCCGATCTTTTTTATTGAAATGAATTAGAATTAGTTTTTCACTTCAGAAGAAAATTGGAATCTTTCGAAAGTGCCAATTCCGATCCCTTTTTTCCGCTCTCGACTCCTAGTAAAAACTATTGTCCGAGAGAGAAAACATTCTGGACAATATATATGCTATGTAAATGTAATGCTCAAAATTGAGTAAAAAAACTTGTAGTTGTATTTTTCCTTTCAATTTTGCATGTCTACTCTATCTATTTCAGGAGTATTAGCCACATTTTGAGAATTATCGGAAAAAAAAAAAGATAAGCAAACCTAGAGTGCCATTTTGAACCCTAGAATGCGCGGCCAGGCAGTCGAAGCAGCCTAAAAACGTACCCAATGGCCTGTAACATGTCGAAAATAGTAGCAAATCGCAGACGTTGAGTATAGTGAGTTTATCATATTTTCAACAAGGGTATGTTATTATTATTTTTTTGGGTAAATTACAACCACCCTCCCAAATTATGGTCAAATTACGAAAAAAGTCTTCTTGTTTGGATAATTATATATATCCCCTCAACTGTGAATCTTCTTACATCTCCATTCTTATGGTGTCAAATTCAACATAATCATCTAGATTCCGTGGAATATTTTCTAGTTTGTACTCGTTTTGTGAAACAGTTTCTGATGCACCACAATCTGATATATACAAGTCAAAAAACACATCTTATGATCATCTAGTTTCAAAACGTGGAGCTCAAATGGGATAAAACGGGTCCAAAATTAAGAATATTCCATATAATCTAGAAAATTCCACTAAATTTAAAACTGCAAGGGTGGACGTGTAAGAAGATTTATAATTGAGGGGAGTGGTTGTAATTACCCAAACAGAAAGGGGGGTTTTCGTAATTTGATCATACCTTAGGGGGTGGTTGTTGTAATTTACCTTTTTTCTTCTTCTTAAATATAGATTTGGCTTAAACATTTACATTATAATTGTGACTTATATTGAATATAGTTTAGTTTGAGGGGATCCTCTAATATTATAATTACCCAAAAAAGAGCAATAAGTGGACACTCACAAGTTACACACACCCCAAAGTTATTGCAAGAAAAATGTAGAAACACGTTTTTCTCATCATCCAAAAAACGTGTTATTTAGTTCACATGCAAAGTAAAATATATGGTATAGAAAGGGACTGTAGCCAGAATATTCCACCTAATTCGACATTAATTTTTTTTTAATTATTATTGCCTTAAAAGTTTGAACAACATAAAATATAAGATATTTTTTTTTATCAATATTTTTTAATCCAACTTGTTACACATAATATATATATTTTTAATTAAAAACGAGCATAAATTGTTAAAATATTTAATCATATAATTATTATTTGTATTCTATCATTCTATACGACTTAGCAATTGCATGCACGAGCACGATGATTGCCCGTTCGTTTTACAAATTGAAAATAAACCCTATCGAAAGAAGTTGCAATAGTTAGACAATCTTCTACGAATGCACCGAACGAAGACGTAGCATAATCATTCTTGTTAACAGGGGCGGAACCATGCATATAGCTGGGGTGTCCCTCGTCCCCAAGTAAAAAAAATTTAAGCAAATTTTTTATTTTATTTATAAATTTTTTATTTTAATTATGTATTAGTTAATGCACTTTCGCCCCCAAACCTTTAATTTTATACACTTCAGTCCATTAAAAATATATATATATATATATATATTCTCTTAAATTATCCCGATATTTCAACCCCCAAGAAAAACCCCGTGTCCGCCCCTAATTGTTAAGTGCGTTGATAACCATGAAGATTGTCCCTTCAATAATAATCATCGACCACCTCTTTTTCCGCATCATGAACATAGCTCTTAGTGCTGCGTGAGCCGCACCTTCTATAACGATCTCGCTCTCCCGTTTAATTCTCTCCATCTTCCACCCGATACACTTCCCTTCCCAATAATCTTGAGTTTTTCCAGGCCTTCCACACAATAATTCATGGCCAAGGTAAACCGTTGTGTGTCAAGTTTTGCTCGCGCGCATGGTTTCCAGCTAGTTGCCCTACGACGTAACATTGTACTCATATTACGGCAATTCAAAGCCACATGCAAGAAACTCTCTGAAAGAATTTAAGGTCCCGAATTCGTTTAATACAGAGATGTTATCTGGAGTGTTATGACACTTGAGATAACATGCAGCGGAAATATAAAGATTAAAAGACAATACTCAGGATTAAAAATGTTCACAAGTAAAGACTTGTGAACTTGCCCTTTACAGGACGGAGAAATATATATTAAAATCAGTATTCCAAGAATACAAACAGAAGAGGTGCGAAAACTTCTTCCTTATGAATGAATCATTCTCATGATCATTCTTACAATCAAATCTAGATACTAAAAGAAAAATATTAAAAATTCTAGATTTCAAAGATGTACTCGTGAGGAGTACGTAAAGAACTTATGAATGAATCACTATCTTGATCATTCTTACAACCAAGTCTAGAAACATATATACTAAACAATCTAGACTACAAAGAATGTACTTCGGAGAAGTACGTAAAGATTGTACTCATGAGGAGTACAACCAACCGATTCTAAAAACACACTAAAATACTCATGTAATCTTTTCAGCTCTCGGTGTTTTTCTTCGGAATCAATCAACTTCCTTGAGTATTGAAATCGGTATTTATAGACATTTCAAGCTTCCACTCCTCAGCCCATGATCTGCAAGAAAACCAACTACAAGAGCACTCAAGAACATGGGTTAGTGGGTTAGTTTAGAAGTTAAGATAAAATCCACAATTTAATCCACTAAGCACTACTTAACCCACTAACTACTATACTTAACCTACTAAGTACTACTTAGCCCACTAAGCACTTAACCATAACTAAAATTTAGTTTGAAAAATAAGAGAGTTAAAAACACATAAAGAAAATCAACGTGTTTCAAACTCCCCCTTTTTAACTTTCGGATCAAAACTAAATTTTAGCTTAACTCCCCCTGAGTCATTGCTTGAACCCCCCCTGAATATGACAACCAATATAGCAAATAACAAAAATAGTGCAATCATAGCATAAAAATTCAGAGGGAAAATAAAAAACTGAACAAAAGCAAATATTGTTCATAAAAATAACTTTAGAGCAGAATATCCAAAGTCTCCTCAGTATCAGCTGCTGCTCCTCCATCACTAGCACTGGATCCACTGCTTTCTTCTGCTTCTTCTTCTTCATTAACTCCATACGCTCTGCCTCTGGCATCCAAAGGATGAGAAGTTCTTATGACTAGCTTGTTCTCCCCCTTTTTGATCAGAAAGAGATTTCTGTAGCATCTTCACCATGGACTGATGATAGGTGATCTGAACTAGGGAGTGAGTAAGCTGTTTTAACAAAAAATCTCGAGAAACAGAAATAAGGATGTCAGGAGTGTTGTCAACATGAGGAGCAACACCTTCAGTACCATGATTATTTTGACCTGATTCAGTTGAGAGGAAATTATCTCCATTCCAGGGAAGATCTTAAAATTTTGAGAAATCAGAATGGAGTAGATGAGAGAGGGATTTAAAACGATTGCCAGAAAGAGTCTTACAAACTTCAGTAAAATCACCATAATTATCCTCATCAATCACAGTAGGAGTTTGTAAATGAGAGTTGATAATTTTGGAAAAAAAAATAGAATTTCGCACAAAAACTTTTTCCAAAGTTTGGAGAATTTTTCTTTAAAAAAGAAGTTTGTAAATTGGCATAAAAATTCCTTCACAACAGAAAGATCATAAGGACAGGCAACCTCAACTTTGATCAAGAAAAGCAGTGATCCTATGCCTATCAAACTCATCATTTGAAAATTTTCTTTTCCTCAATTTGAATCAGATTCAAAATAAAATATAGGACTGAAAGCATTGTTTACCTCAAAAGGAGTTGACAGTTCCTTCCCATCCAAGTCTAGCTCTTCTTCTTCTGAAGATTCCTCTTCTTCTGAGTCTTCAAGTTCATCTGGTATGCATGCTGGCTCAGGTGATGCAACAGGTGGAGCAGCATCTTCTTCCATCTGAGATGAGTCCTCGGAAGAATCACTGTCTGACTCTGAGGATGGCAAATTCTTGCGGAAAGAGGCAAGGGCACTTCCCAACTGTCATCACTTTTCTCTTCCTCTTCAGCCTGGGAAGGTGGTGCATCCACTTGAACAGCTGCCTCTGCCAGAGTTTCCAGAGGATCTTCATTTGGAGCTGAGGGTGTAGGAAGTGAGGTTTCTTCTGTGGTGGCAAAGTCCTCGGCATCAGCAGTGGTGATATCTACATGCTCAGCAAAGGACATCCCAGAAAGGTCTGGCATTTCCTCATCTTGATAAGGAGCAGCATCCTCAGCAACATTTTGAGAAGCATTGTCTGAGACAGTAGGTGCAGCAGCATTTTCAGGAACATGTGCAGCAACATCTTCGGAAACAGGATGTTGAGAGGGAGTTGCTGCCATGTTGGACTGAAATGTCTCCCCCTGAGTTGATGCTAGTGGAGGTGA